GAAACCCAATGTAAAATATGATTCCGTTTTCTTCAAGTTTGTATCTTCTTGGCCAAATGCACTTATTGTAAGTCGCTTTGGATAAAAGCGTCAGCTAAATGTAAAAGAAAAAATATATTAGGTTTAATTAAAGAAAACCAACATATGACTATTTAGCTGTATATGTGTACGATTAGATCATCATCCTTAACTCAATATTTGGTAAATATGTTATTGTGTTTGATTTATTTTCAAACCCCATATATTGTTTTAATATTAAGAGTTGGATATTCATTTGGTTGCATATTTGTTTGTATTAATATCTACCAAAATCTTCCGTGTCAGTTTTTTGGTTCATTTTCTATAAAGACAAACAAATCTTAATGTAAAAATGAAACACATAATGTTAAGTATGGTTTACACATGTATTGTCATTTGCTTTATCATTTCATATAGCAATGAAATTATATTTATTTGCAACTAAGGAGTTATACAGCTGTACTGTATTCGTTTAAAAAACAACATTTATTAATCTAAAATCATTTTTATTCTGCAAAACAATTGCTTATTACACAGTGAACGTCAACAGAGTGTGAACGTCGGTTTGGTCAATAAAGTTGTATTTCAAGTGACGTCATCTTCCGCAGAGAGACAGCTGATGAGCCTGGGTCTCTCGCTCCTTCTGTCAAACTGCTCCTGAATTCATCCAGTTAGACCACATTTTAATTTGATAAAGACAGTCGACATGTTGCACAGAGACAGAATACCGCTGCTATGGGTTTTCCTCCAGGCTGTGCTCGTCGTGGCGTTGGGTTTCTCTGACATGGAAACGGGGCCTGGTGGTGCAGGTGTTTCGGTCCAACAGCCCAATGGAGATCGATTCAAAATCGAGGGAAGAGCGGTGGTTCCCGGGGTGAAAACACAAGATTGGGTCTCTTCGGCCAGGATATTCGTGGAAGGTGAAGAGTTCGTGGGGTTTGTGAGGTAAGAAACAGCTTTTAATTCACTAACCCCTAGCTAGCCTATTAGCGAGGCTAAGGTATCATTAGCCTCGAAGCTAGTCGGATAACCGCACGGGAGTTGCTGTCGGCAGATGGCAACTTCTCACCGTGCTAACTAACAGCTTAATATTTGTGAAGGTAACTTTTGCCAACATGGACAACAACACGGTTATTTCATTTTTACCTACCTGTCACTGAACTTAGTTGTTTATTGCACTTTGAGCTCAGCCAGGCCTCATTGTCGCTGTAACCATAACAAATCTTAGCTGCACGAGACACGTCTGTTGATGCAACACTGATGTTATGAAGGTAATATTCAGATGTGGAAAGTTACTAGGTACATATACTCGTGTACTTTACTTGAGTCATTGTATTTTATTCTACATAATGCCTCTAACAAGTGACATAATGTAATCTAATGTGCTCCACTACATTTTAGGGACAAACACTTTTAACTCCAATTCATTTATTCAACACCCTTCGTTACTATACATAATATATGATAATATGCAGTACTGTACTGCTAATATACCTAGTATTTTACAAAGTAAATCATTAGTGAATTGGACCCACATTGAACAACTACAACGTTGAAATGCTCTTACGTGAATTTGTAATACAAACAGGATTCCACGCTGTGTGAATACCCCACACAGTACAATCCATGCATTCACAACTTGCAATAAAGTATGTAAGAATCACCAGCAAAAGTGTGTAGGAAAAGTACTCAATTAGCTGGGGAAATGTTCCTTGTCAGTATTGTATGTGATGTTTCTTCATTAATATGACCGCTGCAATAATGTGTATCTTGCATTTTACTGCAGTAGATGTTGTGCACATTTTTACTTTATTTTATGGGGTTGTTTAATCTACAGCAATGCATTTTATATAAGATCATCGTGTGTGTAACTCTCCATGTGTTCAGAAATCATTCCTTTTTTGTGTGCGTTGTGCCGATGCATTTTCCAGATGATTCAAGAGCTTTTTAAAGGGTATTTATTTTAAGAAGTATGAGCTTGTTATGAACTAAATGTATTACATGTGTATCTTGACTAAATCCAATTTTTGTTACAGAACTGATGGCAGTTTTGCTGTGAATGACGTCCCCTCCGGATCCTATGTTGTGGAAGTTATCACCCCTAACTATAGATTTGAGCCAGTGCGTGTTGACATCACATCAAAAGGCAAAATGAGGTAAGACTTCCCTACAGTGAGAAACCCAAATGAGTTTCATGTTGGCCTGATTATTCGGCTTACTGAATAGAGGAAGCTCTAACCACTGAATTAACCATGAGTCATTTGACAGGGCGCGTCTTGTGAACTACATCAAGACCTCAGAAGTAATCCGCCAGCCATACCCTCTTCAAATCAGAGCAAATGGCCCTCAGACCTATTTCATGAAGAGAGAAACCTGGGGATGGACCGACTTCCTCATGAACCCAATGGTAAGGACATTGCTTTTGTTTCTCTGAATATGTATGATCGATACCCTCAGGAGAGATTTCCAATATGCCATATTTGTTTAGATTGAGATTAGTGAACATTTAGATACATTCAGGAAAGCCTGAAGAACACTTTTAATTGTTTACTGTTATGCATATCATTACCTCACCTTAATAGAACCAAACCTTCGCCTGATTACCAAACAGCAACCATTACAAATGCATTAACCAGAAGAAAGATTAACTGTCTAATTCAGTGGAAAAACCAAACTGTGTGTTCCTTAAATCTTCTTATTAGGCATCTTAATTTGTGATTTCATTGAGTGTAGGTTGCTCGTGTTTTGACTTCAGTTATCAGCATCATTTTACAGTTCATACCATTCTATACATATTGGATAAAAGTGTCAAAGATAGTTCCTGTGCTTCTGGCTCTCTTGTTTTAATGAATTGTTTCTGGTGCTCCTGCAGGTTATGATGATGGTTCTGCCGCTGCTGATCATCGTTCTACTGCCCAAGGTGGTCAACACCAATGACCCAGAGATGAGAAAGGTAACGAATCCTTAACAGTCTGAAGAGTTGTATCAGAAATATTGGTTTTCTTTTTTTATTACTGCCGAATTTTATTCCATATTTTATTCCATTCTATTTCTATGTAAATACTGCTATATTTTGTATTATTTTTCAATGTTATTATATTTTTCTTAAAATAGTTCTTTATCTGTGTTTTACTTTTATGTATGCACCATGACATCAAGTCAAACTCCGCGTACGTGTCAACCTACCTGGCAATAAACCTGATTCTGATTTCTCTCAAGTTTATAGGATTCAGGTTTATTATAATGTATTAATTTTTACTAGTGTAATTTCCTGAAACAAATAGTCAGTTTCCTTCCACGTTTGCATATCACTTTGTGGGTGGGATTATTTTTAATGAGTAAGGCTTTCCGGAGTCTGTCCCCAGCCTTCAGTTCATCGTCTACATCTGTGTTCATTTCTCTGCTGTCTTTACAGGAAATGGAGCAGTCCATGAACATGCTGAACCCCAACCCCGAGCTGCCAGACGTCTCCGAGCTCATGACCAAGCTGTTCTCCGGCGGCTCCAAGCCCTCCAGTAAGGCTGTAACCAGCAAAGGCACCAGGCCGGCTGTGAAGAGGAGGTAGTACAACAAGTCCTCCTCACTCTGCTTAAAGAAAGAACGAGTTATGCCGTGGAAGCAAGATTTTTAAGTGTCATTTTTCATTTTTTTTCTCCCTCCGGGTCAATTGTACAGTTTCTCTATTATTAGATGTTTTAAGCACATCTTGATTTCTAATATGCTATTGGAGACTGAGAAAAAAATATGATCTTTTTCATACTGCACTGATAGAAATGTCTTGAAACCCTGCAAAGCTGTTTTCCTTCATTTGCTCTACTTTCTACATGTGGCTCTGCTACTCACCCATCTTTTCTGTGCTAACCCTTTGGTGTGCTTTTTTTCTCCACTGCTGCTAATTCTACTACCTGAAAGAAATCATATATACAGAGATGTTCATGTTTTTTTTTTTTTTCCAGTGATACGACTGAATGAATATTACGTGAATTTTAAGACTAATAAATCCTTATTTAAAAAAAAAAGCCTAGATAAATAAATTTGCAATGTGATAACATCATAACAACTGTGTTTTTATTTCACACCATCTTTGTTTGAGAGGGAACACATGGCCTTCTTATTTTTTTTTAATTTATGTGTGGCATAATGTATGGTCAGTATTTCCATACTGTACATTACCACTGCTAATGGTTTATTAATTGGAATGTAATGATTGCCAGTTCTCAGGATGAAAGAGCTGTGTTTGCTATTAAAAAAATCGCTATTGTAACTTAACTTTTATTAAAGTGGAAAACCTGGTACTGTGCATTTGTCCTTATTCTACATTAGGTAAAGTCCTTTTGTGCATTGAACCTGTTCAAATAAAGAAACCTAACAATTCCCATTGCATGGCCAAAACCAACAATGCTAATCCATCTGATACATGAAGACATTTAAAAAATAAAATAAAAAGCTCATGTATATGGTTAAGGATTTATTAAAACAGGTTGAGACTGTAGTTTTTAGCAAATGCTACTCAAACAGGAGAAAATATTATATTTATATGAGACTATTTCCAACTGTTTTGATGCACTTACTGTACTTACAGCAGCATAATGGTTTTTTTATGGGATTTACTTCAAACCAGTTATGGTCATTGTAATAAAAACATGTAACCCAGTGAAAAAGAGTGCTCTATTCTTGTGATTTTGTGAGTGTTTGGACAATGGATGTTTATGTTACAGAGGAATACACTATATTAAGTATTGGCTACACAGGTTGTTATTAAAAATCAATGTTATTGTTGGTTTTGGTCTTTTACCAGTTATGAGGCCAAAACGAAAATGATATAAAATTACCAACCAAAGGTACTATCAATATTACTGTGTCTTTCTAGCTGTAACATTCATCCATGCTATCAACTATTGGAGCGGGTAATGATTGGCAATCTTTTTATTAAAAAAGAAATACAAGTACAAAGCAAGATTCAACACTTGATGTAAAAGGTTCATGCTGACAAAAGTGTGATTTTCTGCCTTCGATTTGTTTTTTTACTGTTCATATCAGAACACACAGACTCACTTTCACAATACTGCACACAGACAATGAGCACAAATCCAATCAAAAAGCTCTTTTGCTTCTCGGCAGAACAAAAGGCACAGAGTTCAGGGAGATAACTTTTGACAGATGCAATCATTTACAACAGCATCAGTCATCGTTTAGAGAGACATGGTGGTCGGCTTAATTCGGTTCAAATACCTTGTGTTGAAGTTTTTACAGTAATCTGAATAGTGAGAGAAAGAAGAGGTGTGATCCATAAACAATCTCTTACGTAAATGCGCAGACATGTACAGATTAGCCCTTAAACACAAGATCAAATATCGATTTGCCAAGATAGGAAAACAAAAACACAACACTGATACAATACATTAAGCAATTTATACATTTGGGTGTAAAACAGAATCAGTGAACTATTATTTATGAATTACTTTGAAATGTGTACGCCTACAGTATGTCCTATATACAGTGCAAGTGGGTGAACGAATAGAGAAGGATAACATGAGGTTTAAAGGACCAGTTCAGAGTTTTTACTCTAATGCTCATGCAGTATACGTTAAAAGTATGTTTTTACAAAGTCCTGTTATCCTGTCTACATTGGTGTGGAAGTGATTCCTTCAAGCTTCAAAGTGTGACTACAATAGGGATTCATTTCATATTCCTCTATAGAAATGTAATGTTGAATTCCTTGCAATGTTTTTACAAAAAAAAATTGAAAGTGTAAGATAATTAAACAAAAAAATCTAGAAAGAATTTTGTTTAACAACATGTCGGTTCAAGAAAATGAACATTGGAAATTCATGACTTTGGTGAAATTAGTCGTATTCCCCCAGACTATAAAATAGTTTGAGTTCTCATCTTAAAGTAGATTTAAACCTTTGTAAGACTGTATAGCAACCTAATATGGAGCAGCAGTTTGAGTTCTGCATCCGGCTCAGCACATTTTCCACCAACAAGTATACTTAAACACAAAAACCACATGCAGCACTTCATGCTGACGATGACCACTGACTACAGAATACATCGAGAACATCCACACGTCTGCTCTAATATTAGCATGTGCCACATCAAGTCACTTTATTGTTGGCGTTTGCGTTCTGTCCGCACCAGTACAGCTTGTCCTCGCCTCTCCTCCTCCTCCTCCTCCACTGGCAGAGCAGGAGCATGCGGAAGGTCTTCTGGAAAGTCTTGTTGCAGAGGGCGTAGCACATGGGGTTGATGGTGCTGTTGACGTAGCACAGCCAGTAGCCCAGGTGCCACAGCGACATGGGGATGCACTCGGCACAGAAGGTGGAGATGAGCACCATGATGTTGTACGGCGTCCATGTGAGGATGAAGGCCAGGAGGATGGCGCTGAGAGTCTGCGCCGCCTTCTTCTCCTTCACCAGCACCATCCTCTTCCTCTTGGTGATCTGGCTCTTCAGGACGGGGTCCAGGGGTTTGGAGGTGGAGGAGGCCGAAGGGGAGGCGGTTTTGGGAGGCTGCTCTGCTTCAGGCAGGCAGGGTGACGCTGTTTTAGGTTTGCCGTTTTTAGGCTTGGAGCCAGGTTTGAATTTATAAGACAACTTTTTTTTACTGCTCTTCTTTTTAGGAGTGGAGAAGTACAGTTCTTCTGTGTAACCCCCCACCTCCCCGTTCTTATTACTCTGAACACTCTCTTGCTCTTTGAATGATCCCTGTGGGGTATCTATTGAAACAGGCTGCTCTTCTTCATCAGATGAGGAGTAGCTGTTGAAGGAGGTGATCTGATCAGATTTCACCCATGCATCCTCTGATCTAGTTGTCATTTTAGTGACGTTACTTTGGTTAGAGGACGACCATGAGGCCTGACTCCGTTCTCGCCTCTCTCTTGTGAAATGAAAGCAAGAATGAATGATGGTTTTCTGAGGTTTAGTCCCCTCTAGAACATTTTCCTTCGGTAAGCCTTGCAGTTCTGCCAGATCTTTGGTGCGTCTCTGCGTCTCCTTGTAGATCCTGCAGTAAAGGATGGTCATCACGGAGACAGGGATGTAGAAAGCAGCAATGGCCGTACCAAAAGTGATCACAGGCTCTGTTAAAAACTGGATCTGGCACTGGTCAGAAGGCACGTTTCTCTCTCCTACAAAGTACTGCCAGCACAGGATGGGTGGCGCCCAGAGGACAAAAGACACCAGCCATGCGAGGCCGATCATGATGGCGGCTCTCTTTGGAGTCCTTTTAGCTCTGTAAGTCAGCGGCCTGGTGATGGAGAAGTATCTGTCAAAGCTGATGACGAGTAAGTTCATAACCGAAGCATTGCTGGCTACATAATCCACCGCCAGCCAGAGATCACATGCAAGGTTTCCCAAGGACCAGTAACCCATCAGGATGTACGTGGTGTACAAGTTCATGGACAACACTCCTATGATGAGGTCAGCGAAAGCCAAACTCAGCAGGTAGTAGTTGTTGACAGTCTTCAGCTGGCTGTTGACTTTGAAGGACAGCAACACCAGCACGTTACCAACAACCGTTATCAAGCTGACAATGGCTGACACGGTAGCGATCGCTATAACCTCCCACACGTTGTGGGAAGACATCTGGACGTGTGAGGTGTTGGCAAAAGTGTTGTTTGGAGGATTTACATCCATGTTGTTGTCTGTCTGTGTTACTGTTGACAGGTCAGAGGAAGGCCCCAAATGTTGGTTCCATTAAGAGTTATCCTGAAATACAAAGACACACAATAATCAGACACAATTGCACATTGTAATTTTTTTCTAAAATTGTTATTATGTAAAGTTAAACCCCTGTTGATACACCATTTTCAAGGGGTTATAAAACTACACCTATATAGGTCTACACTTTTGTTCTATTAATATTGTGGTTTGTTCTGTATTTATTTAAATATGTTTAAGTTCTCTTTGGGCATTTTTGGAAGCAGCAACATCAAATGTCTTATGTGTATTTTCTTATGTTCTTATGTAACTAGTTATCCAATCTATTTGCTAAAATGCATTATATTTGTGTTTTAAACTTAAAGAGTAAAGTATGTTACTTTAGTAATGTAAACAAATATTGAACAATTGTTTATTCATAAAAAAAAAACATTGAAGCTGTTTTGAAATGTATGTAATTTAATAAACCTCAGATCATATAATTAAATGCATGAGATCTAGTGAAAACAATCTTTTAAAAACCTTTTGTATTCATTTTTGCTCACAAACCATGCAGCAGTTTTTGTTTGACCTTTTTATTTCTGTATTTCAATTTCATTATTTATGTATCTGTTTTGGTGTAATCTACTGTAGGCTATATGGCCTTCATTGCCTGCATTTTGGGCAATTGTGTTTTCCAATTACAATACAATACAAAAATTACATTCAATTCTGGAACTTAAACATGCCTTTTGTGTCTTTCCTTAAAAAACAGATTACTTTTATTGTTTTGGTCAAAATAGGATTTGGAACCATCTAACGCCATTTTGCTGTCGGACACAATTCCATGTAACACTCACTCCGCTCAACTTTGAAGTGTTACACGCTAAAGTGTCCGGCCACGGTTGATAACAGTAATGGAGTTCAGACGAGGCAGAGGAGGCAGCTGGAAAAGAGGCGGACGCGGGGGAACCGACGGAGAGAGTTCAGGCGGTGAGCACCGGGGCAGAGGGAGAGGAGGGCAGACCCGAAGCCGGGGGAAAAGAGACCATTACCGGGGCCGAGGACGCGGGGGAAGCGGCCCGGCGGCGGAGCTCCATCCCCGGGTAAGAAGTTACACAGGCTGCCCCATAGATGTATAATTACCATAATGACCATAATGATTCTGTGATTGGACAAAGCACTTTCTGCACCTCTGCCCTCTGAAATAAGTACGTCTTCGTAAATTATGTGTTGTGTGTATTTTCAATTTAGTGTTTTGTGTGGGTCTATTATGTATTGACAAAACAATTTAAATAAAGTTTTCAAAAAAAAAAGATGTATTATAACAACTGCCCCCGTTACCAGAGATTAATTTCTCTCAGGTCCTGTACTTAAGTCAAAGTAGAAGTAGCAGGGTGTAGGAATACTCTGTTAGAAGTAAAAGTCCTGCAGTCTAAATGTTACTCAAGTAAAAGTAGAAAAGTATTAGCATCAAAATATAGTAGTAAATATAGTACTCATTATGCAGATTTGTCCATTTCAGAATAATATATATGATATGTTTTTTTTATTATAATTATTGATCATTAAAGTGTTATGAAAGCTGGTAAAGGTGCAGCTAGTTTTAATGACTTTCTATACTGCAGGGTAGCTTGTGAATTTACTCCAGGTGGAACTGAAGTCTGATTTAAGAGTTGATTATATTTCACATCATTAATCCAAATCTGTAAATTAACTAAAGGGATTAAATACATGTAGTGGAGTAAAAGTACACGATTTACCTATGAATTGTAGTGGGGCATTGTAGCACAACATTTAAATACTCAAGTACTTAAGTCCCTCAAAATTGAGTACTTGAGTAAATCTACTTAATTACTTTACATTACTGCCCGTTACCCCACCCTGCCTAACTGCTGTGTATCAAATAGTAATTTAGTAGTTGTGTCGCCAAAAAAATGCACACGCTTCTCAGATTGTGATGTAAAACTCATTTGCACGTCCTCTTCAATTCGGCCTGAAGTAGCATTCATTTCAGTGTAGTTGTTATCTCTTTTGCACCAACATAATCTGTAGAGACTGGTACTGAGCATTGTAAACACGAAAGACAAAAGTGATATAAAAAAAACAAGTTTGTCAAACAAGTTATAAATCAGTGTTGTGTTTTTGTTTTCCTATCTTGGTATATCGATATTTTATTTTGTGTTAAGGCCTAATCTGTACATTTACAGCTGCATTGATTTCATAATCTGCAGAGACTGGTATTGAACATTGTAAACACTTTCAAAATAATGTTCATAATGTTTTTTTGCAAAAGTGATGTAACATAAATAAGTTTGACGAACAAAGTGGTTGATTGCTGTACAGTAGAGAAGCAGGTGTGTGTCATCATGATCACATCTTCATTTCCCTCTTTACAAACATGATGAGCTCCTGTCAGCATGTACGGAGGTAGACTTGAGAGAGGAATCATAGTGATGAAGCTCCTCAACAATATCATCATTGTGCCTCGGAGATGAAAGCTCTACGGCCGTTCTGTCAGTAGATGCTCCTGCCATGGTAACTACAGAATGGAAAAACAATAGGGACTCTGTAATTGCAATCATACAAATCTCCTTTAGGTGCATAGCGGCTCCTTGATTGCAATCATGGAAAAGTCTGCTTTGATGGATCCATTGTTACCATGGGGTCTTTGATGATACTGAAAATTGTTCTGTTTTTGTGTTTGAGTTTTTCACCAAGAAAAACTGAACTTTCTGTGGACACATTTCCCTGACAACCTTGGTGAAGGTTCGTGCAGCTATTTGACAAAGCAGAAAGGAATCTATGACGCAGAGACATTTCATTAGTTCCGTTTTTGACCTCTATTATTTTTCATTGAGAACGACGTGCCAGTTTGCCTTGACCCTTTATTTAGACGTAGCTACCAATCATGAATAAGAGCTATGTGGTAATTATCACTTAACAAAACGCTCTTTCAATAATTTCCTTTGTGTGGCGCTGCCATGGCAACATCTTGACTTATAGATAGCTCCAAACAAAAGTGAGACTTTTTGAAGTTTGTAAAAATGAAGGCAGGATTACTTTTTCACACAATCTGACATTTCTTTGTTCAATCTACCCCAGCTGAGTGATATGCAGCTTAGCCTTTTATGAAAGCTTCTGGAAAGGTGGTGTATTGTCTGCTGGCGTCTGGCAGGCGTTACTTCAGCATCTGGACTAAAACCACAAGATTCAGAGACAGTTTCATCCCACAGGCAATAAGACTGTTAAACAACTGAACTGTAGTAACAACATCCATAACATTCATCTGCTACTTAGTAATTATTTATCTAATGTATCATTCCAATAGCTTGCATGTAGACTCTTATTTCACTACTTCACTTTTTTTAAACTATTTTTCTTTTCTATTTACTTTTTACGGCCAGTCCACACAGCAGCGTTAAAACAATCTTGAAAATCTTGGAGGTGGGCGTGTCTGATGGGGATTTTTTGGGACCAACCACCAATCACATGAATATCCCGCCCCCAACATACAAAGCAAAAAACCCCGGGGATTTTATGCGAGCAATACATATATATATATCTATATATATATATATATCTATATATAAACTCCCCAAACAGGCGAAAACCTACCAGTTTCACCCACTGTCTCTGCCACCTCCCTCCATGCCTGGTTCCTCCGGTTTGTATCCCGGTAAATAGTTACTGGTCGTAAAGAACCGGGTGATTTGCTACCGTAATTTCTCGTTTGGAATATGAGGAAATGAACTGCGGTCTGGCTCTCCCAACTTGCACGCGGTTTGATTGGCTAGCGTTTGTACTGTCCGATTTGTATAAGCGGGATTTGATTGGCTGACGCTTCCACCTCAGTTTCAAAAGTTGAACATTGCTCAACTTTTGAATCCTGGAAATCTTCGCTTTGCTTCCCCACAATGCAGTTCGGCGAAAAGCGAGGCAACGTGACGTCCCCCCATTCAAAGTGAATGGGCAGAAGCGTTGGAAGATTTGTTTAACGCTGCTGTGTGGACGGGCTGTTACTGAACCAAGAGGAGCCTGCAACCTTCTCATTAAACTCAGGGAGCCACTTGACTTACATACAAAGTCAACAGGATGTAATGCAGGCTCATGCTAAGTAGTGCTATTGCTATGAATGGCAATGTTTTGTTCCCACAAGTTGGACATGTAACAATTTGAGTGAAACATGTTGGCCTCTCCTGAGCTGTTGGACTGACCTTAATGAATTTACAGAGATGAGAAGAGAAGAAAGAGGGGCTGGAGGGAAGAAAAAACA